AACTAAAGCTTTCCTAAAAAAAATCATTGTAGTATTTTAAGAAATTATGAATAAATAATTTCAATAAATTTATGATTTGTTTCTTTTTTATATTAATGTGAAGTCAACACTACAATTTTATTACCTGCAATTTGTAATTCATAATTTCTTAGAGCCATCATTGAGATGAATTACTTGACCCAAGTTAAAATTTGGAATGGATCTTCTGGTACCAATAGTGCGAATTTATGTCTTTGATTATTTAAATTTTATCTCCCTTGATAGCTCTAATTCTTCTCTTCTGATTGCTCAAATTTATCCACAAAATTGTGCAAATTGCTCTCCTGATGGCTCAAATTCATCTCTCCTGATAGCTCAAATTTATCTTTCCTGATAGCTCAAATTAATCTGCGCAAATTTCGTAAATCATCCCCTTCTGTTCGTCCAATTTATTACTTTTGATCGCTCATCAAAAACACAATATTGCAATACTGTAATTCATTGGAGTTAGCTCTGATGATGAATATATTCTATCTACCGCCCTCTATTGTCTAACTGCAAATTTCATCATTTTACTTGATCGAAAGATTTTATTTGGCAGTGATACAGTACAGAACAGTTATTACGATTGAGAAACTACTAGACATCTTCAACGCTATAAATAAGGCATATGTAATTTTAAATTAATTGCGTATTATTGGTAATGTTTAAAAATGTGAACCTATACAAATTTATTTACAGTTCAAGATAGAAAAAAAAAAAAAAAGCATTTAATTTGATGCATCATTACAAAAAAGTAGTAGGGCCTAAAATGACAATAGAGCTATCTAAAGACAAAAAACAGAGAACACGAAAACAGAACAGAGACAGAAGCCATGATAACATATAAATTGAAAGCGAATTCACTTCTTTCCAAATTTATGAGCCTGATAAAGTATAATATTGACAACAATAGAGCAATCAATGACCTGATTTCTGATTTCAGTGAAGTAAAACATTCCAAGAAATATGATGACCTGATTTAAAAACGTTAAACTCGCCTTCAAAATAGGCCTATCAATCAAAAACGTGTGTGCCGATGTAAATTATAAGAAATATGCTTTCAAAAAGTATTGACACGTGTGAGCCCGTTTAACAGTAAATTAATGAAAAATACCACAAATGGATGGTTGTACAAATATGTTTTATTCGGAATGGCCAGTCAATCTTGCAACATCACGTAAAAACAAAGACCAGAAACAAGCACATTGGGATGCACTGAAAGGACGAAACAAGTTGACACGGAGTGGGGAACAATACCTAATAGTAGAAAATAACATTGATTGTATTAAACAGATACAAAGCTGTTCATGGCATGTTTTTTTTTTTTTGTAAAAATTCATCCTACTTGCCGGATGTTCGGTGACACGTAATAGGTAAATTGTGAGGAATATAATCTATAGGTATGGTTTATAAAACCTAATATTATTGAGGGGAAAATTTAAGTAAGAATTTTTAAATTTAGGCCCCTATATTTCAGATCTATTATATGCCTATTGAACGGGCCCCTAATAGCCCCGGACCCCAGCGTGTTGCACTGGCTGCACTTCCTACGCCATTGACTGGCATAATTGATGCTCTTCCTATGTCAAAATCAAAAAAAGATTCGAACTATGTCGGTATAGGTCTAAGTAATGACTTCGAATATCAGTATATGAGGCAAAGAGTGAAGTGGTCCGCAAATTTGTTTATGGTGTAGAAAGTGGTCCCCTGACCCACAGAAAGTTGCATAACATTGTATTTATCAATCAGTCGAGTGTTTCTAGAGCCCCTCATCTAAAAATAAAGGTACAACAGCTTGGCTTCATAGCTTTGTATTTTGTAGCTTCCAAACGTTTTTCTTAAAAAAAATATACTAAAACTTAAATTATATGTCAATTGATAAATATCAATATAATTTAGTCAATCCATTGATAGAGAACATTATTTCGGTCGGAAGGGGCGCCGTTGTGGGGCGTGACTGTAGAGTCGCTTTATTACTATTTTTTTAATTCTGGTTCGCCATATTCGTTTCAGATTTCGTTTGTAAATTCGTCAGATGATTGGTGAATAGTCGGGTATCACGCATTCAACTTACACAAACTGAGACTGCGTGTATTCATAAATTTAATTTAATGGATTGGTTAATATCATATAGTTGTCTCAGATTTTTACCCTTTAATAGTTTATTTGTCAAGTGTTTCAGGCGTTGCGGAATGTCAACTGCAAGAGGATGTTGCTTAAATGTGCATCCAAAGTTTTAGTTTTATGTGTTTGGTCACGATAATAAATGTTAGTGTGTTTACAATTAACCCTGCAGTGAATATAATACTGTATTTGAGGTAATGAATTTTATAGATAACTAAGCATATTTTATATAAAAATAGATCTATAAATTTATATGATTAATGAAATACATTTAAAAAATGGT